AAAGCAGTGTACCTGGCAATGCGCTTGAAGGGACAACCACTGGAAATGCTTGGACAGTTGTCAGCAGACGACAGGCATAACTATAGAGCACTGGTAGCTGCTCTAGAACTCAGGTATGGAACTCAAAATCAGTTTGAAGTCTACAGGGCCAGGTTCAGGACGATAGTCCGTGCTAAAGGGGAGAGTCTGCAAGAGCTGGCACAGGATTTGGAAAGTATGGCACACAAGGCCTACCCAACTGCACCACCCAATGTTCTCAAGCTGTTGCTGAGGGATCAGTTTGTAGATGCCTTGGACAGTTCACAACTGAAGATACAAGTAAAACAAGCATACCCTTCTACTATGCAGGATGCAATGGCCAGAGCTCTTGAATTCGAATCCTACATTAAGTCCAGCACAGAGGTACCAAGGTTAGTACAGTCATCAGGATTCAAGGCCAGAAAAGGGCAGCTTTCAGAGAAATTTGAGGGACTTTGCTGGTACTGTAACAAACCTGGGCACAAAAGAGCTTAATGCAGGCAACTTCAACACAGGGAAGATGCCATGGCAGGAAAGGCTGCTACCCAGAAAGGTTGTTGGAACTGTGGAGAGCAAGGACATATGAGGAGACAGTGTAAGAAGAATACTACCAATAAGTCAGCTTCGGGAACCAGTAGTGGCTGGTGCTAAGGGACACACCCATCAACCCCCATTTTGAAAGTTCCAACAGCTAAATGTAAAATGCCAAGCACACATAGCGTCTACGTGACAGGAAAGCTGGATGGCCAAAAGTGCAACTTTGTCATAGATTCTGCATCTCAGCAAATCCTTGTGAGTATCAAGGTGCTAGATCACAAAGGAGTATCAGAAGCTCTGACAGGACATTATGCAAGGTTGTGGAGACCAGTGTGGGTAACTATTGAGCTCATGGACATAAAGGAGAGACACAAAGTATACTTGGCTGACATTGAAGACCCATGCATATTAGGGTTGGACTACTTACTACCGAGGAAGTGCGTAGTTTACTTTGATAAAATGACGTTTGGGAACAACAAAGGGAAACTGCAGATGGGAAAGTGACGACCTGGTAAACAGTTATACCGAGAAAGTTACGGGAAGTTGTGCTGCGTCAATCCCATGATAGGTTAACAGGAGGACATCTTGGAGTGAAGAAGACATTGAATCACCTACGGCAGAGATTTTACTAGAT